CCATGGGCTTCTTTTCGAGATGGGCTTCTTTTCGAGGCTAATTTTGCAAACTAAAGAGGGGGCTTTAATTCGAGATGGGCTTCATCTCAAGATTAAGCCCACTGGGCTTCAATTCGAGGTTTATGGTATTCTTTAAGCCTATACATCTGTCTCTTATACACATCTAGATGTGTATAAGAGACAGTCATAGAGGTGTTATTGTAAACATGTACAATGTGGGCGCTATGCTCACACACTCGTTTAATAGCTCTATGTTTCGCACACACCTACGCAAAAGCACACGAAGGAAGTCTTCAATTTGTTGTGATTGGGAAAGTGTAATTTATAATATTATCTGTATTGTGTTTACAGTAGAAATAAAACCATTCAATTTCCACGATTTTTAATTGTTTGAATAAATAGACAATTTTGTTTTACCTGCACATATGATAGGATCATTGATAAAACTTTGTTAAACATTGACCACACTTCCTGAACCTGCAGTGGCCACGCCCCCAAATTTGATCGACCGTCGAGCTAACTGCTCGCCCAGGGTAGGTAAACATGTAGTTGTTGACCACAAGATGTCGGAGAAATCACAGGTGAAAATTGGACACTATATCCTAGGGGAAACCCTTGGAATAGGAACGTTTGGAAAAGTGAAAAGTAAGTGGATACATTTCTTAATATCGTTGACATGTGAAATGTCTTGAAAAACAAAAAGCATTTGGAAAATCGACATAATTTTCGTGAGTTGAAATTCAGTCCAGCGCTATGTTGAGGATCACGCGGTGTTTACTTTGTTTTGTATTCAGTAAAATATATGACATGCTGGATGGATAGTGGTTGCATGGTAGGTAGAGTCTAGCCACTAGTCTAGAGAGACTGATTGTTATAATGACTTGCCTGGTGGGTCTTTGGCCTGGGCTAGGCCTAGAGAGTTTTATTAAAATTTTATAACTACTTATATTACGTGCAAGGTGTGGGTGGGGGAGGTAGGCTAGTTAAATAATAATATGGTTTACTGACTGGATGTGTGAAACTACTACTAGGCTAGGGCCAGGCCTAGCTAGGCTAGGTGCTTATGAAACTTGGACAATTCAAGGGGCACTTCTTTTAATCGAAGGTAAACACATGATTCAGGTGCAGAAAAATAATCATCCAGAGAGTATGGCTAATGACAAGAATGATACGTGGTTTAACACGAGAGCAGATGAGATCATTGGTGGTAGTGGTGGTAAGCGTGTCAATGGCTATCTGCCGATTGTAAGATTAGCAGAGGATCATTCAGTTTTCTAGCTCAGAACTCATGAGAGAGTGATGAGGTCAGTTTATTTTTGTTGACTGAAAAAAAAAAACTGTATAATGCCATACAGTATTTTAATTTTTAGATATTAAATACTGTAGTTATAAATCCAAGAAGGGTAGCAATATCACAAGAATGGGATTCTATTGATTCATCAAAACTTAAAACGATGTAAACTGATAGACGGACGGATGGATGGATGGACAGACCGACCAACAATGCTAAGATGCGAAGTTGATGCAGAAAATTAAGTCGGTGAAGAAGGCCTACTGTACTGTACTGTATGATGAATTTTTTTAGGAATCGAGGGGCACTTATTCAAACGAGGCGCTTAAGACAATTTTCACATTAGGAGGGACGCTTATTTAAATGGGGCGCTTATTTGGTTAAAAATAAATAGTGTATAGGAAAGTCCATATTAAACCAAAAATATAGGCACAGACGTTCCAACCCCTAGAATTCAAATTCAAGAAACTTCTGGCGCGTTGGTGAAGTGCGCCCCACCCCTGTAATGTTGAGGAAAAAAAATAATAGTAATAACAATAATATTAATAATAATAATAATAATAAACCAAAATGATGAAGAGCTGACAGCTTAAGAGAGTAATAGGGCATTAAAATAACTCTCATAATTGTGATATCCAATATACTGGAATTCTGGTTTTACCTTCTTACTCTGGCAATATTATTGCTCTGGTCATCAGTAAGCACTGAACAGAATGACACACAGGACTAATTCAATTAGGGGTCGAAATGTATGTGTGTCGTATGTTTTGAGATGCTCTGCACTTTCGATAAAAGATTAATAAACATTATGCTGCCTGTTCAATCATGTCATAAACCTATAGGGTCCAGGGAGGGGCAGTGGTGGCTGTAGGATCCCAGTTGAAGGGCAGTTGCAGCTGTAGGATATTATATTTTCTGGGGGACTAAGCTGTCTGACTGGGCTGAGGGAGATAAGGATAACTTTGGCACGCATCACCATAATTGATTTTAAGGATTACAATTTAACATTTACTTCACTACGTTTTGAGATTATTCGTTATAAAGAGTGTTATTTTGTAAAAATTATGATTCTTTAAAATAATAATGATTTGTATACTAATCCATGAAAAACAAATAAAAAAGAACATGAAACAGTCACTCTAATCTAGACTCGGCATTTACTTTTCATATCAATCCCAAGCTTTTGAATTTTTTCCTCCTTTTTATTCTTGTGCAAACAGTACAAACATTATCAAACATTAAGGCAATGATTTTCGTGAATTGCAACTACACTACTGTGATTGCGTCTGTCCTCAAAGGCTTTTATGCTTATTCACTTTTTCAATGTTAAAAAAAAAAAAAAAACCCAAAATGAAAAAATTGAGTCCTAAATGGCCGTAAATGAGCTTTCCCGACTTCTTTAATGACCTTTAAGTTCTTCAAAATTCAAGGTTTTTCCCCTCTTGAAAAAGGTCAGGTAATTTTATCTCATACCGTAAAACCTTGAATTGAAGCCCTGGACTTTTTTTTGCGCGAACTTTTGAAGGGCTTCTTTTCGAGATAGGCTACTTATCGAGATGGGCTTTTTTTCAAGACTATTTTTGCAAAGTAAAGAGGGGGGTTTTTTTCAAAATGAATGCTGTGAATTTTTTGAATTTGTAAAATTGAACAATAAATAAGGTCAATGCATACATCAATCTGTATTATGGAGTGTATTTAATTGGCATTAAATCACCTAAACTAATTAAATGTAAAAACCAAGCTTGTTTTTAATTTATTTTGTTTTCTGAAATTCATGCACAGTGTATGTACTGTACTATCTCAAAAAGAAGCCTATGCTATCTTGAAAAAAAAACCCATGGGCTTCTTTTCGAGATGGGCTTCTTTTCGAGGCTAATTTTGCAAACTAAAGAGGGGGCTTTAATTCGAGATGGGCTTCATCTCAAGATTAAGCCCACTGGGCTTCAATTCGAGGTTTATGGTATTCTTTAAGCCTATACATTGAGAAAAAAAAAAGTCAAAGATGTAGGCAATATATTATTATATTCCAACATTATTGAGTAGTTAGATATGTAGCCTTTCTTCCCTTGATCGATGAACCGATAGGCCTGAAGAAAGCACTTTCGTACATAAATTATTACGACGTCAAACCAAAAACAGTGTGTATAATTTATTTAATTGAAGACTAGTTGGGCTAAGCCTAGTTTGTCTGATCTGCCAACCTATGCCTAGGTAGGTTGGCATACCTTTTGTAAGCCAGGACCAAGTAGGGCCTAGTATTTTGCTACGTTTCTTCACGTTTGAACTCCCTCTGGATCCGCCACTGGTTGTAGTTAAAATATTTAAATATTAATTTTGGTAAATTTATTGATAAATAATGTTGCACACAGTATTTGAATATTTTAGTTATCACAGTGATTCTAAGACAGTGTATTGTGTAATTTAGCAAAGAATTAAGTTTTAATACTTATTTATTTCTTATGATCACTGTGAAAAGTAAAATATTAATTTAGGTAAGTGTAACATTATTTTGCCATAAATCTGATAATAATATTATCAGCTCCACGGAATTTATTCGTCTGCAAAACATAACTCAGGTATAGATTGAAATTTGTGTATGCAGATTATTTTTCATTCAATCTTCTTTATTATTTTAAAAACCGCAACACAAATTTATAAATAAAAATTAAGTTATTTGTGATCGTTTTCTTACTGCAGAATTCTCAGAAGTTGAGGTTCTCTACAACAAAATAGCCTTTACAATATCCACATGTGTGAAATGATCTATGACACTAATTACAGTAGGCCTATAGTATTTAGTTAAATAGTAAACATTAAAAACTTGGCAATACTGTATGTTTATTGAAATTGAACATAAAATAGCATTTACAAAATCACATCAGAAAATGTGTTATAAAAATTTAAATCTGAAATCAGTCCCTTTTCTTTGAGCTGTACAGTACCTGTGTAAGCATCATTGTTCTTGAACTACGGTATTGATTGAAGCAGTAGTGCCTACAGGGTCAACAACCTTCAATTTCTTGTTTACTCTATGCCATGTACAATTGCAATCAGTTATAAATAATTTATAAGTTGAAAATTATTATTAAGTGTTTGTAGTACATAACGTATTGGAGATGGCTTGGAAAAGAATTGTTGTTTTCTAGTATTTAAAAATTTGACATAGATTGCTATATTGTATTTAAGAGAATAATAGTAATACAAAACTTGTACAGTATATATTAATAACTCAGGGCTGAAAATGAACCTCCAAACCATAGTGGCTAGCAGGGCCAGTAAGAAAAAAATGATACTGGCCCTTCCAAAGTTATAATGGTGCTATTTTTTTTACGGTCCAAAATATAATTTTACAAAAAAAACCAAAATCAATAAAACCAGCAAGATGACATTGATTTAATACTTTTTTTAGCCAATTGAATCTGTCTTTAGCCAAAATCATTAGTCCGAACTGTCAAGAGTCTCGGTCAGGGTACCAGAAAAAAATCCATTGTATTAGTTCACGATCGACATGTGAATTTTTATGGCCCAAAATTGTGATTTTAGACCACATTGGAGACTGGCAATCAAAATAACGTTATTTGACTAGCAAATTAATATTGTTAGCACACCAACGATGTACATTAATTTAAAAGTTTTCTAAATATATAACACAAAAGCTTAAGAAATTACAAAGGCCTAGGCCTATAGTATTCTCATTTTAGTTTGAAACGATATTGGGGGGGGGTGGGGGGAGTCATGGAGCAAGGAAAATAGCCTACTTTTGGGAGTTAGTGGAACTATAGTGTCTCCAGAAACCTGTATTTTATGCAGTTTCAACATAATTATATATCAGGACATAAAGTCCCAACAAGGCTTACAGTTATTCAAAATTGGCTTGGGTCTGATCGTCTGGAAATGGGCCCAATCATCTGTCACCCAAATTTGTCACCGCGATGATCAAGGACTTACGATCTGGACCTAGGCCTAGTAGACTAGAGCCTGGTTCTCACAAGAGCCCTAGTATCCGGATCGAGAGCTAACCATTAGCACCTGTGTGAGAACGCCCGATCGGTTAGCGCTAACCGTTAGCAGTATCTGGATACGCTTAGCAAGCGCTATTGGTTAGCAAGTTGAGGGCGTTTCTATCATCAACCAATCACACGTACGCGTTTACAATTTCCAGTTTCTTATTGGCCGGTGATTCGATCATCATATTGTTGGTATCCGGATCGGGATTTTCTTGCATAGACGCACGGCAGCTAACGGTTAGCAGGATCCGGATTCTGCTAACCGTTAGCTGCCGTGTGAGCACATAGCCATAGCCTACCTAGCCTTGGGAGATTACTATAAACTGCTACTACTGCCGTCACTCTGCTCTACAGTACCTACACCGTGTAACAAAGCGACCCGCGTAGTACATTCTTGAAATATTACATACATTACTTATGTATTTTACATATCAGACGAGAACACGAAATCATTGATTAAAGTATTATTAATGACATTTCTACCACCATTGCACGCATAGCCCTCGGTCTAAGCATGGTAGGGTCCTCCATGGATAAACACAAGCTCGGAAGTCCTTATGTAGCCGACGGTTGGCTGCCTTTAGGTCAAGTTCAAGTTTAATTTATTTCATCTCATTGCAGTAACTTACAGAAAGAAAACTGAATTGCAAGAATGTTACAATACATTAAAAACATTAAAACTATTAAGATATACAAATTCAGCAACATTAAAATCACACACAAAAAGGGTTGAATTCTATAAAATGCAAATATAAAAAAATTGTGAAAAATTACAATATAAGAACATTAAAATTACACATAAAATAAGATTCATTAAATAACATACAAATATATAATAAAATTTATGAAAAAATTACACAATTCGATAATTTAATGGAATATATATAAAATTCAGGAAAAAATTACAATTTTATAAGACATTAAAAATACAGTATACCGTACATAAAAAAGATTAAATTCAATAACATGCAATATATAATAAAATTCATCAATTACAATCAAACTGTATAAATAATGAAATATATTTACAGTACAGTATCTGTAGCTCAAAAAGGAGGTTGGTACATTTATTGTTATTGTTTTATTATTATTATTTTATTATTAATTATTGATCACTGGAATTTTAAATTTTAGAATTAAGTAATCTTATGAAAAATGGGATTGCACTATTTTTATATCCATCCACTTTTGTCGTAATTTCTTCATATTTCAGATTACAATAAAGTTTCATACTATAGTATGTGTAGACTGTCTCTTATACACATCTAGATGTGTATAAGAGACAGGTATAATGCCATACAGTATTTTAATTTTTAGATATTAAATACTGTAGTTATAAATCCAAGAAGGGTAGCAATATCACAAGAATGGGATTCTATTGATTCATCAAAACTTAAAACGATGTAAACTGATAGACGGACGGATGGATGGATGGACAGACCGACCAACAATGCTAAGATGCGAAGTTGATGCAGAAAATTAAGTCGGTGAAGAAGGCCTACTGTACTGTACTGTATGATGAATTTTTTTAGGAATCGAGGGGCACTTATTCAAACGAGGCGCTTAAGACAATTTTCACGTTAGGAGGGACACTTATTTAAATGGGGCGCTTATTTGGTTAAAAATAAATAGTGTATAGGAAAGTCCATATTAAACCAAAAATATAGGCACAGACGTTCCAACCCCTAGAATTCAAATTCAAGAAACTTCTGGCGCGTTGGTGAAGTGCGCCCCACCCCTGTAATGTTGAGGAAAAAAAATAATAGTAATAACAATAATATTAATAATAATAATAATAATAAACCAAAATGATGAAGAGCTGACAGCTTAAGAGAGTAATAGGGCATTAAAATAACTCTCATAATTGTGATATCCAATATACTGGAATTCTGGTTTTACCTTCTTACTCTGGCAATATTATTGCTCTGGTCATCAGTAAGCACTGAACAGAATGACACACAGGACTAATTCAATTAGGGGTCGAAATGTATGTGTGTCGTATGTTTTGAGATGCTCTGCACTTTCGATAAAAGATTAATAAACATGCTGCCTGTTCAATCATTCAATAATCCATGCCCTGACAAGTTGGCTAATTTGTTCTCGCTTCTTGTGCTGAAGACCTGGTTCAAACCTGGTCAACGTCGGGTTTTAATTGGAGTCTGATTGCATGGCTCCTCGAATAACCCTCATGTTGAGAGTTAGGTGGGTTAAGAACAATGTTTGTATCCGTATGTGTCCGTCATATGTACGTAGTTAAGGTGGATGGAAATGTTTGTATCCGTAGTGTCTGTCATATGTATGTAGTTAAGGTGGGTGGAAATGTTTGTATCCGTAGTGTCCGTCATATCTATGTAGTTAAGGTGGGTGGAAATGTTTGTATCCGTCATTTTGTATCCGTATGTGTCCGTCATTTTGCGTCCGTATATTTCCGTCATATGTATGTAGTTAAGGTGGGTGGAGCACTCTGGCTGCTGTGGGTCTCCAGGTGACCAGCCGAAATTTTCAATTTCCGATTAGAATGAGGATAAAAAAAAAGAATTATCATTATTATAATTCAAAGCCATTTTATTGATTTTTTTCCCCTGACAGTTAGCTGAGCAACTAATTCAGATCATACCCTCAGCTTTTGCAAGGGGAATTGCCTTTACTTAAAGTTGAATGTAAAGTAGGAAGTGGTCTAATTTCCCTACAGTAGGTGGACACATTGATTGGATTGGATTTATTCGGTGTAAACACCAAGGATAGCCCACGAAAGTCTAGAAGAAGACTTATATCCAGTGGGGTCCTTCTGGTGGTGATTGGGCAGTACACCGGGAGACAATCCCCTACTCTTTTCAAAAGAGTGTACCGCGTTCTTTAACGTGCACATGGGCCATAATGCACACGAGACCAACAGCTTAAACGTCTCATCTGAAAGGCAGTGCGCTATTGTAACTTGTATTTCAGCCCTCTAGCTGAAACACAAGGAGAGGCAGCGATGGGAATTGAACCGCGGACCTAGAGATCTCTATGGTTCAGCGCACACACAGCAGCTACCACCAGATTAGCCGACTGAGCTAAGCTGCTCTCGTGAGATTACCAGAGAAATGGCCGTAGTCTTTGTGTAATACTTGCATAATAATGTTGGTGAAGTCAATGAAGCACCAAAGGTTAAAAGATACCAGTAACCGGTATTTTTTAATTATGGTTATAGATCAGTATCATATATAGATATAATAACATGTTATTGCTTCCTTTTTTGTGGACAGCTTCTTCACAAAGCACCATACAATGAAAAGTCCATTTTTGGTGAGTTTTTGGCTTTGATCCAGGTAAACTGTACCATTAGAAAAATGACTTAATCTCACTTAATGCTGCCAAACATGTCTTTGGCACATTTCCAAAAGGTCCTAGCTGGATTTTGAACCCTGGAAATGCCAAGGGTATTAGTATTTTGGCTGTTTTTTTTTTAGGTATAGACAACATCCTGTCATCACAACACCAGGTGGCGTCCTTTGTTGCAAACCAGACATTGGTTACCGTTCATTACGCCTGAGTGACTTCATAATCTTAATGGTTTATAATAGGTTTTCTGAAATAGGCATTTTAAAACCTAATAATTTACCATCAAAATGTACTAGAAACACAAAAGCTCGCATTATATTAGTTATCAAACACACATTTAATCATCAATTAAAATTTATAAAGAAAAAATAATTATGTTAGAAATTGGGATCAATGGTTTGTCAGTGGAGAAAATGGCATTTTGTGTCGCATATAGCAACAGAGTAGTATCGCGTGGTATCATGACGTAACACTGTAGTACTCTATACAGCACAGCCCCTAATCTGCTGTTCATGTTTCATTCCCATTGTACTAAATTATAACTAATAACACACAATGAGGAATGTGTAATTAGCGCTCCATTAACAATAATAATTTTTTGTTAAATGCTTGGGGAATATTATTCTCATGATGACGATTGAAGCAACTCAATCAAAAACGTTGAGACATTTTCACCAGAAACGACAGCTCTTTTTAGAACTATCTACTTGCTGTATTTACAGTATGCCTAATTATAATTTTAAAAGTAAAATCACAGTTCACTATGCTACTTGCATTACCTTATAATGATGTTTCATAATCTGTAGTATACAATGCTAAAGAGACTTTACATAAGTTCTAGCTTTCAGGAGCTTTATTTTTAGTTTGGAAGATGTGTGTTTGTGCTGTCTCTTATACACATCTAGATGTGTATAAGAGACAGGCCTAAAGCAGTTGGTTATTTTTTCGTCAATACAAAATAGTTTTCGCCCATGGCGATCGGTTAGCGCGAGCCCAGTAAGGGTCGCCAAAGGGGCGATACCCAAACATTTATTTTCGCCCGACACCAAAAAAGGTCGCCACTGGCGACTGACGACCTCTAATTTTTAGCCCTGATAACTGATTTTTATATTTTAAAAAAAGTCAAAAAGATAATTTTTGGATTTTTATATTTTGAAAAAAGTCAAAAAGATGATTTTTGGAAGCGATAGACTTTATTTTATGTCCTTACAATAAAATTTTATTAGAAAGTGTCTTAGTGAAAAATACTGTAGTATGCACAATGTTGTCAATTCATTATTTTTGGTTTTTAAAATGTATTGTAGTGAATTAAAAAGTTATTATTGATGTTAATCTTAGTTTTTCTTCTACATCCACAGTTGGAAAGCACCAGGTGACAGGACACAAAGTAGCTGTCAAAATTCTCAATCGACAAAAGATCAAAAGCCTTGATGTCGTCAGTAAAATTCGCCGTGAAATTCAGAATCTTAAATTGTTTCGTCATCCACACATAATCAAACTGTAAGATATGATTCAATTTTTCTTTTGTAAAATTTATAGATGATAATGCTTTAATTAAACATTTTCAATGTACTAACTCAAAGTTGAAAGTAGCAAAGTGCTGAAATGAACCATAACATAGGGGTAACCCCCTACTCTTTTGAAAGATGCAATAGGTCCTTTACTGCTCGGCCACTCGACTAGACTGGTAGTCAAGTTATTTGGATTAAATTTTGTTATTTTGTAGGTACCAAGTTATCAGTACACCAACCGATATTTTTATGGTTATGGAATATGTGTCTGGTGGAGAATTATTTGATTACATAGTGAAGCATGGCAAGGTAAGATTATTTTTATCACAATATAATGAATAATTTTTATGTTTATAATATTCTCCAGGCTAACAACATGCACTGTTTATTTTGATCTGTTTTTCGTTAATTATTTACCTATTTGGAATAATAAAGTGAAATGCCAGCCAGCACAATACGCAGTGGTCAACTGAAGAATGGAAATTGAAAAAATGAAATATAGGAATAAATGGAGAAATAATATTAAGAATGTTAGAGGCCTTTTGACTTAAGATGAAGGTATAGTATCAATTAGTCAATCATTCAAAATCAATCAATAGGCATTTAGAAACACTAATATATGTGATATATATTTGTGTATTTAAATGCCTATTGATTGATTGGCTGATTCACACTTTACCTTTATCTTGAGAAAAAGATGTATGGTAGTACCTGTATGGTATTACCTGATCAAAATTACTTTAGTTAACTATCTAATATGATTTATCAGTGTTAATTGCTAAATGTTCATTTACCATTTGCCTATTACTGTAGGATTTTGAATGGTGTGCATTAAAAAAGAGATGAAAATTCTCTTTCTACAATGCATACCGTAGACCTCCATACACAGTGACCGTGCCGGGATTATTTAATTCATTGAAGCTGGACGTTGAATGCTGAACATTGTACATTAGTTTGATTAGCCCAGTTTCAGGAATATTCATTTTGTTATATTTACTTTCAATAATGAATTAGCATTGTAGACACTTTATACAGAAATTATGAGCTAGTGCCGCGATGAAAGCCTTGTGGGCTCACTCTTAAATATATGGGGAGGTGCCACATTTATGGGGTATACTTGCGAGGACTTGGTAGCACAAGTGTGCGAAATAACTGGGGTGAAATTGGTAGTTAAAGTCCCTGGTGGCCTATCCTGTGTCAAAGTGCCTCGATTTTTCACACAATGTTAGCGGGAATTTCAAGCTAGACTGTGTTCTAAGCCCCTTGCTAAGCCTATCTTTGGTACAGCCACAAGATCGCGACCAGACGGAATACTTTTTGCCATCGGGAACCAGTCAATATTGCACCATCTCTGCCACTATAGAGTGACCTTTTTTCTGTCATCTTTTAGAGCACAGTGCAATTTTGGTAAATGGTAGTTGAAGTCCATAAGAATTTTCAGTAAAATAGGTAGTGATGTGGCTGGGGCACCCCCCTGTTTGGTTGGTATGCAAGTGAGCTTCCCGGGGATGAAAGTAAGTAGAGTCAGACCAAGGTAATTCAACAAAAGGACGCACATCTCGGGACATCAAAGGTTATAACTCTGGCATCGACATTCTAGGCGCACGTGCGTCCCTACACGCTGAACGTCACAAAAACTATAGCAACCAGACCATAAACCGTCAACGTGTGACGAATTACCACGTGCGTGTTAGTTGCCATGATAATCGCGCGTCGTGCGGTGATTACAAAGGCGTAATGATATTTTGCGTTAGTCGCGCGTCGTGCGGTGATTACAAAGGCCTAATGATATTTTGCACTAACATTAGACTGAAATATATTCTTCATTTCAACATTAATTTTACCAAAATTGTGGTGAATTGTCGTTCATGAGACTTACTTCGCAGAAAAAATTAATGAATTTTCCGTATATACTCAAATGTTCGTCCTCGGCACCTTATGCCAACATTGTCAAAATGACAGATTAATGTTAAATAAGAACATGAAATTTTATAAAATTCGTAAATTTTGAATTGCTATAACTTTTCATTTTCTTGGTCAATTTTCACAAATCAAATTGCAGTTTATAGAAGCATTTAACAAGCTCGCGGTAAAAAAAAATCAAATGTAGCAGACATTGCGAAGTACCCAAAATTAATAAAATAAAAACTAACACCATAAAATGAATGGCACGCATAGACTAATAATTGACGGCTGTACTCGCAACTAGTATCGGATTGTCGATGCCACAGTAAAGATCAAAGGACTGTACGCACGCGCTATGTTCGAGAGCGGAGATGTGCGTCCTTTTGTTAAATTACCTTGGTCAGACGTAAATCAACAACAGCAAACTCTCTGTATTATCCTGGGCCTAGCTAAGCCTGTCAAAACATTTTATGTTTTGCCTTAATGCCAGCCCAGTTGTAATTAATTTAATTTAATTTTTTAGGCTTAAGGTAGTAGAAAGGCTTAAGCTTATTAAAGCAAATTTAGTCACATTAATCAAGTGACAAACTTACAAATAAGATACCAAGTTGTTTTTAGTCATAAACAAAAATATCCTCTCATTATAACAGAACCCTGGAATTGGAAGGGAAGCATTATTTAATATGACCATCCTGAAAAATATACAAACAGAATTGGAAGTACCTGGAGAATAAGACATAGAGGAGGCCTAATGCTAAGACAATGACATGAGATTATACTATAGAAATAAAAATCATTACAAACCATCATATTGTAAATAACATACAAAACATCATTAAGCTTTATTGCTATCAATTTAGTATATAGAAATTACATGGCATAAATAATGAATGATACAAAATGTACAGTGCTAGAAAATTAATTAAAACATAATAACAAGATGATTATTTTCCCCGTGGGCCTCACACTTAAATATTTCTATACGGGTAAGTGCCGCATTTACGGGGGTATTTTTTAGGACTTGGTAGCGCAAATGTGGGAATTTATTGAAGAGTTTCAACATGTATAGGGTATATTCGCAAGGATTTGGTAGCACAAGTGTGGGAAATACCAGGTAAAATTGGTAGTTGAAGTCCTTGCCCCGTCCTGTATCAAAGTAGCATAATTTTTCACACGATTTTAGAGAAGATTTTTTGCCAACCTCAGTGCTAAACCTACCGTTGATACATAGCCACGAACCGTAGGGATCGCGAACAGACCGAACCGCGGTCCTATTCGCCATAGGGAACCAGTACAAGTTTAATTTGGTAGGTTACATGGCCGTAATGGTAGTTCAACCGACACCGGATTTTGTTAATTGGTAGTTCAAGCCTAAGCATTATCCTACCCTTACCCCAACCCTCCGTAAGATTGAAGATTGTTATACAAGTGAGCTCCCCGGGTTATTTACCTGGTTCAACAATATTTGTTCTGTGTTGGATTCTAAGATTTAGTAAATTCATTAACATGATTGTGACTTTTCTTCTTCAGAGATATAAAGGTATATTACAATCTTTCCACTTTAAGAATTTATAACATATCATTTCCTACACATCTTGCTTCATTTCAAGACATCCAAGCCAAGGTTGTTCAATTTTTTTCCCGTTTAGTTGAAGCAACATGAAGCAAGGAGGTTTTTCCAGCAAATCATCTCTGGAGTTAACTATTGCCATCGTCATATGATTGTTCATCGTGATTTAAAACCTGAAAACCTGTTGCTAGATACAAACTTGTGTGTGAAAATTGCAGACTTTGGTAAGAAAACCATTTTAAAAATACCTTTTTTATTAGTTCCTTTGTGACCTTAGGTCACATGGAACTAATGTAATGGTTCACATGTAAAATTTGTGTATGAGATGTGACACCAAAAGAGGTCACCAAAAGAGGTCAGCATATTTGTAAACAAATAGGCTCCGAAACGATGCATAGTGGCAGGTATACATTGTGCTCGATAGTTGCTGGTGGACATGCAATTGTGCAAGAAATGTTTGTTTTTTCGGTTAGATAAAAAATGTAGGCTGTAGGCGATAAAACATATACCCCCTACCACCAGTTTTGAGTCGTTTTTTAGTCGAAAATTTGATTTGCGCATGCGTCGGGTCAAACTTTCCCAACATTTTGTTTCTGTCGCGAGCTGCCTAGAAAAGTTCTTTATGTTGTTTTCGCGACTGTCAGTAAACATCGAGCAAACTGAGATAGTTGTGGCATATCGGCCACTTACTTGTGCTATTATTTGAAGGTGTTCTGTGTGTTCTATTAGTGTTTTAGTATACTTTAACGGCTAAGATTGACGGACCTGGTGTACCTAGGCCTACCCTAGACACATACATAATTTAGGCTTCTCTTTGGGCTACACTGTCGGACCTGGTGTAGGTCTAGACACATCTGATATACTGTGCTATACCATTACGTAAAGTAGGTTTCTTGGCCTACCACCAGCCTGCCGTCAAGCAATAAAAATCAACATTTGTGGAATTATTTTTCAAGAAATGATGGTTAAAAATTCTGGACACATAAATATGCAGCATGTGATGGACAGACGAACCTAAGGGTTGGCGGGGCAGCATGTGATGGACGGACGAACCTAAGGGTTGGCGGGGGGACGGGGAGAACCTTAAAATTATGGACACATAAATTTACAGCATGTGATGGACTGACCATCTATACACATATACAGCATGTGATGGAGGCATGTGATAGACAGACGAATGTATGCCTTTCTTCAATTAATTTCCAGTAAAATAATTATTACAACTTCAAGAAAACTTGTGTTTTTATTGCATAAATTAATTTCACAAGCATTTATTCTGAAATATAGCGGTATCAATATTCTTTCTATAACGGTACAAGCCACCGGGAACCAGACGTCGAACAGAAAGTTTCAACAGCCCACGTGTGTTTTGTTGCGACATCATAAATGAAGCTGCTCACATGACCTCTAGGACCACACTCCCGAAAAGAAGTTTATTTATTGTTTTGAGCGAAGCGGTTTCGAATTAAACTTGTTTCAAAATTGTTTGAGTGAATGTAACTATGAAAATAATTATTTAAACAACCCAAACCATTGCTTGATTGTCGTAGAAAATGTAGTAGGACAGTACAGCACTGTATAGTGAGTATAATTACAAATACTAGCCCTTCAAAGCCTAGGCTAATTAATTGGGCTAGTTAGTAGGAGCATGGGCCCAAGCTAGACAGACGGCGCCTGATTTTCGCTGCGATTTGCGATCTGAACTTTTTGGGGAGTAAGTTAACGACTGGTGTATAGGCCGCACCCCAAACTTCGAGGGGAAAATCGCGTATAGAATTTGCGGCTTATTCACCGGTAAATACGGATTATGGAGCAAAAACTTGTGTTCATAATTTTAAGGGGGGGGGGGCGGAAGAATTTGTATGAGGCTGGGCGGAAGGCCTTAATAATAGCTTTAGGATGGGTGCAAGACGTCAAGAGTGGACGGCGCCGCCCACCTCCACCCTGCATAACGACATCCCTGCACTTCTCAGATTTTTTATGTACAAAGGAACGTACGCACCCGCAGGGTTCTGGTTTTCTTTATGAATAGTTTCAGAATGCATGTTGCAAAGTAAACAGTTCAATAAACATCTTGATTATTGAGTTAGTAACAAGTTATATTTAGCATTATAGTTTGAACAGTTAAATCATCATTATATTTAGAAAAGTATGTCATAACCATTAAGATTCAAAAACTCAAAATATTAAACAATCATTTGCTTTACCAACTTAGATGTGATGCCAAGGTTTAACAAGTTAAAATGAACTTAAGTTGCATGTTAATTTGACTTGGAGGTAGGGTTTGTGGGGTTAAACCAGCATCCCTTGATTACCATTTATCTGTATCATGATCTGAGCTTTTATGGCCAAGTTTTGAAAAGTGTTGTAATAATTAATTCATTCTGGTTTATTATTTATTAAACATTAAAATTTGACATTGCAGCATTGTACTGAATTATTGTATATCATTTTATGTTGACTTGTGACTCCTCCTGTCCTGATTGTGTAGACGCAATGTTCCCGGAACGCCCTCTGGTGAGAATTGGTTCCGTTGACTGTGGGTGTTACTATTATTACAGCATTAGAAAATGAAGATATTCTAGCCTAGTGTCCTCTCTCTATTGACAATACTGAGTAAAAATGTTTACTAAAGGAATTATAATTTTAATAATTTTTTTTAAACATAGGTTTGTCTAATATGATGACTGATGGTGAATTCCTAAGGACAAGCTGTGGCTCTCCTAACTATGCAGCTCCTGAAGTTATTTCTGGAAAGTATGTTAAAGCCCCATTCCCGGCAAAATTTCACTAAAAATGACTTTTTTTAGAAAATATGCATTTGCATTACTCCAATTATTATAAATCATGGAAAAATATTGGCATGAATTTTAGTTTTACACAAAAGAATAAAAAAAATGAGAAATACAGACTATTTCTCATAAAATATT